TTTCAAAATCATTGTTCAGGCCATGTGGAATCATAGTATTTAATTTGAAGATCCACTGCATTTCAGCCCTTCCTATTTTTTCATTAAAATCTCCGTCCCTCCATGTTTTTTGAACTTGTTGAATCCCTATAAAACTTAATTGTGTGGGGTTAGCCTGATGGTATTGTGTGAAATGTGCTGACACCTGATGCAACGCATATTTTCTTTTTATGTTATAAACATGTTCACCTATACGCATATGTAAAGATCTCGTTGTACGTCCTATATAGTTTAGACCACACGTACAGGTGAGCATGTAAACAACATTTTTCGAACTACACGTAATACCTTCCTTTATTTTATACGTAGTATTATTTACAGTAAAATCCTTAATATATTGTTTTTTATTTTCTGTTTGCAATAACCACATCTAAAAAAGCCTTGCTGTTGGTTTAAAAAATAATTTTCCTGTCTTTTTGGTTCATCCAAGACATTATTCACTAAAATTCTTCTAAGATTAGGGAACCCTTTATGTATTATTTTTGGTGCATCTGTTAAAATTTCATTTAAAATAGGATCATCCCTTAGTATGGGCCAATATTTTTTTAATGATATTGCATACTTTGTAGTTTTGTCCTCCTGAGTATTGACATATAAATGGGACATTAAATATTTCTTTAATTTCCTTTTTGTCTTTGTATTTTAGAATTTCTTTTCTTTCTAATTTCTCTACTTTCCTTATGGCTTCATTTAAAATCTCCTCTCCATATCCCCTTTCTTTAAAATCTTCTATAACCTTCTGACTCTGTTCTAAATAAAAACATTCATCAGTGCAATTTCTTTTCATTCTAATAAGCTGGCTACCAGGTACATTCTTTAGCCAGGGACTGAAATGACACCCTGTTATTCTAAGTGTTATAGTGATCTGGGTGAATTTTGGATATGTTGGTCACCCAGATCGGGGCTATCAGGGGATGTAACTTGTGTGGGTTTTGTGTATTTAAATGTATTTTGGGGGTTTTATAAAAATGTGTGGTTTTTGTGTCAGGAGATAATTGAGTTTAGTTCAGTTGACTCAATTATCTCCCAGGCACAGGGGAGGGATTGCCTTATTAGGTGTGAGAGTTTCCTGGATCTGAGAGTCAATTTAATTGTGTGTTTGTTTCTGCTGTGGTTTACTGTCAGGTCCAGGAAGGAGTGCCCCTTTCATGGAAACTTGCATATAAGGCCAGTTGTGGCTACCAATAAAGGAGTTCCTGCTTACCCTCAACATAGAGTCTCATCTCATGTGTGGGGGAAACAGGTGTATCTACCATGGGGATTGCTAGATCACTATACTCCCCTGGAAGTACTTGGTGAGCACTAGGAGCTTTGACTGGCAGGAGCACTCCGTCGGGGTGCCAGGCAGCCCATCACAACTACTCTTTCGGTATGCAGAGGATACTGGAACGGGTTAAGGCTGGGGTAGACAAGTTATGGAAAGTGCCTTGACGTGGATGAGCCTGAGGAAAGGCAGGAAACTGTTAAATCAACAACCATGTGTAGGGGCCACAGTGAACGTTTGGCAGAGGAACGCACCTAGGTTAGGCCTTTCCTCTTTTCCTTCACCCTTCTTTCCCTTGACAAATAACCCTAAATTTACCCCAGGAATGGAGGGCAAGTCATTCATATGTGTTTTTGGTTTCAATCAGGTCCAAATTAGGCACATGACAGTGGGAGATACACTCACTCAGACGCCTACCTGACCTCTTAGACGGAACCCCAGACACATTCCTACAACAGACTAAAATATGAACAACTGGGACAGTTTATACGCCAGATACCCCAACAACCTGATCTATTTAGAGCTTTAACCTCATTTTAACACATGTGTGTCGACCCAGACCTGCAACCATATGCGATCTCACTCCTATACTCAGTACTACAACAAAACATGAATCTCCCAGTGCCACCTCTCTTAACCTCTCTTACTCAAGAGAGTATAGCAGGAAGAGCTCTTATAAGAGCTAGCGATTATAATCAAAGGGAGTATAATGAGTATAGCAATCCCCAGAGTGAATATAGCTGTCACCTCCACACATGAGACGAGGCTCTTTGTTGAGAGTGAAGAGGAACTGGTTTTAATGGTGCCACACTTGGCCATTTATGACAATCAAGGGGCACTCCCACATGGACCTTGTGGGGAACTACAGTACAAAGTCACAGACCAATAATAACAGTGTTATAATGCATGACACTCCCACACATAGCATACAATCCCTCCCCTCTGCCTGGGAGTTAATTGGTCAGATACTGTATTAACTCAATTATCTCCAGGCAGAAAAAACACATATCTTTATAAAACCCCAAAAGTATCCCAAAAACACATAATATTACCAAAAATGTTACATTATTATTATTATTATTATTATTATTAATATTATTATTATGATCTTTATAGAGCGCCGTCAAATTCCGCAGCGTTTTACAATGGGTGGACGAACAGACATGTAGTTGTAACCAGACAAGTTGGACACACAGGAACAGAGGGGTTGAGGGCCCTGCTCAATGAGCTAACATGATAGAGGGAGTGGGGTAAAATGACACAAAAAGGTAAGGATAGTATTAGACTAGTGACAGTTACAGAAGAGGAATCAGTCAGGAGCTATTAACAGTTTAATTGATCCGCTTTTATGAAGAAGTGGGTTTTTAACAATTTTTTGAAGGAGTGGAGACTGGGTGAGCATCTAACGGAGGAGGGAAGCGAGTTCCACAGGAATGGTGCAGCCCTCGAGAAATCTTGAAGGCGAGCATCAGAGGTGGGAGTACGGACAGAAGATAGACGTAAGTCTTCAGCAGATCGTAAGGGCCTAGACGGGACATACTTGTGTATAAGGGAGGATAGATAGGTGGGAGCAGCATTATGTAGAGATTTGAAAGCAAGAACCAGAATTTTAAATTGAGCTCTATATTTTATAGGAAGCCAATGTAGGGACTGACAGAAGGGTGAGGCATGGGAGGTGCGGGCGGACAGGAAGATCCACTGAAAGCCCTGATCTGGGTAACCAACATATTCAAAAATCAACCAGATCACTTCAGGGGTTCATGAACTCTATGGAAGTCACATTTTGACTGACCTTTGAGCATGGTCCCATGCCCAAAGCAGTTCCAGAGAATCAGGCTGTGCAGTCGGTCTACTTCAGAGATTCAAAGTAAAATATAAAATACTGAACGTATAGCTTCGGGAGTAGTCTCAGTTCATGTCTTTCGTTTGGGAGTTTAGTCTTAACGAACTCCATTTGACTACTGTTCGAATAGCTGAACATCCATGGAAGGTAAGTAGTCAGCGGTGTTCGTGCCGAGTGTTCGATTTGAGTTCCATGTACTCGAAGACCAAATGCTGCTCATTGTGCTCGCAGCTTAAGCTGGCCGCCGCCACGTGTTCGAAGTGCCAATTCGAACCACTTCTACAGTTCAGGAGTTTGAAGTGTTACTGCTATAAGTCCAAAAGGCACAAACAGTGGTTTTAACCAAGGTTTATCACAGGGACCATAGTCACAGGTTAGGAGGCTGGCAAACAGGCCCCTCCAAGAACCAGTGGCGAGGTTACGCCACAGACGATTTGTTCATTTGTTTTTGGACGAAACTCTGCCATTATTTTCTTTTCAGAATTGAATTCAGACTAATGAAATTCTGTGATCTGTGCAACAACTGCATCTTGCTGCCATGTAGCAGATAACTCCCTAAATTGGTACCCTTGTGGGATAACCATATATAAATTTTGACCAAAATTATTTTTATGTCACCACCTCTCCAAGGTATCCTGTATTTCTGCATAGCAACACATTTAAGAAGCTTGAGATTTTTTTGAATGTTTAATAAAATGTTTTGATATTGAATGATTCTCGTAGCCTTTTATAATATTTTGACAATGTGTTCAGCTAGTCAAACTTTCAAGCATCTGGATGTCATCCTTAATACTGGAGCCCACTGTAGCAGAGCTTCCTGAACCCCAGCTGGGTACCTGCGCCCAGGATCGCTTCATAGCTGGAACCAGTTGCCGTGGCTTGACTGGGGTCCTTCTGGAGCTTTTCCACCCGACCAGGCTGCAGCTCTCCTTCCAGGCAGGTATCTGTCTGGGTACCTGCAATGCTTACGTGGGTTTGGGACTATTTGCAAAAGGAGAGGGATCCTCTCCTCAGTCCCAGGCTTTTGACCAGTGGTTCCAACGCCGGCCGCTGTGGCTCCTACCCATTATATGATGCGGCACACAAGCACCAACATCATGACATGCCGACATCATGATGCCAATGACGTCACAGCCCGCCAAAACGTCTGAATTTTGGGGCATGGCTTCATAATTAAAGAACCAAAATATAAAAGGCTGGTTCACTTATAGCACTTTGCCCTGTTGTGGTTCTCTTGGTCCCAAAAGTGCGTTATATTCTAGTATTGTATGTTCTGGAATTCAGGACTCTAGCATCTGAGGTTGGTTGGAACAACCAAGCCTTTGTAGATGTATTCCTGAATAGTTAATCGGATGCTATATTAGTTGAGTTTGCAACTACGGATCTTCCAGAAAACCTAGGGGAGTTAATAACTGTCTGAGGTACAGACAAAATACCAGAGACAGGCCTAGAATGGCATCTGTTCATATGGCCCCTGTATATAACAATCCTGACTCCATGGCACTAGCTTTACCGGAACCTATGCAATTAGGGGTTAAACAAGGCCGAACGTCAACACAGGAGAAGGGAGGGACTATGTCTGTATTGCGGGCAAAGAGGACATCTCCGTTTGAATTGTCCTAGCAGGGTCTTGCACCAAAGTCTTTATGGGGGACAGGATTTGGGTGTTTCTTCTTTCTCCTCCATAAAACATAACGATCACAGGCTTCTAATTCACATCACCTTAACCTGGGATAAAAAACATAATTAAGACTAAGGGCGTGGCCTAACTCTCGATGTGAGCGGTTGCATCTGAATGGAGCTCCCCGACAGCGGAATTAAATTAGCCAGGAAAGCGAACTCTATTTTACGGAAATGGGCAATAAAAAGAAGCCCAGCACTCTCCAAAGCACCCCGGAACTCGACGTGCTTAAAAAAGCCGGAGACCTGGACAAATATTTCAAAGAGAAAGTGAAAGTGCTGAGTGTAGACACAGACGACAGCCAGGCTGCCCTGCATGATCAGAACATTCCTCAGACCCCAGAATGGCGGACATTAAAGAGATCCTACAAAACCTGGAAGGAAGGAAGACATCGTGGCTATGTTGGCCCAGTTGGAATCTTCAGTGCAGGATCAGTTCTCAACGCTGGCGACAGAAGTGGGAGATTTAGAGGAGGACAGAGACCAAATACTAGACAGACTCCTCCCACTGGAACATAGACAAGAAGTCACTGACACCAAGCTCCTTCATAATATGAAAAATATAGAGGATTTAGACAATAGGAGTCGCAGAAATAATATTAGAATCTGGGGGCTACCAGAGACACAAGGCCCGACGAAAGACCTCCAAACCCTTTTACAAACACTTTTTAATAGAATCCTGCGAGACTGGAAGAAACACATATACTACTGGATAGAGCACACAGAGCGCTCAGACCCAAAGGCCTGGCACAAGAAGCCCCTAGAGACATTATATGTCGAGTACACTATTACTCAGAGAAAGAGGCCATTATGAGGAGCGCAAGGGAGGCCTCAGAGATCGCTGTATAGAAGCTAACACATAAAAGAGCCTCAACTTTATCGGCTCCTATAACACAAGATACCGTATTGTTTTCTCTCAGGGGAAATACCCCAGGAGACGTTATAACTATTGTTTATTGTTTATAATTGTTTGATAAATACTGTATGTTTTTGTGCAATTGGAACACTAAAAATAACTGACCACAAGGAACACAGAGACCAAAAACTTAGTGAACACACCCTACAGCAGTAGCTGCACCATTGACACATCCAAGTGTAAACTATCACACCGAACGCCTCAGGAACCAACTCTCAAGGGTACCCTCCAAATTTGATCTCAAAATGTCAGGGACCTTAACACACCTGAGAAAAGACGGATGGCACTTATAGAATTTGCTAAACTGAAAGCAGATGTCGTTTTCCTACAGGAAACACATCTGAGGGGCATAGACCTCCCATCACTTAAACACCCCCATTTCCCCAGTGTCTACTATAACAACTACACCAAAAGTAAATCGAAGTACATAACGGACGAATCAGGATGCTTCATAATCTTACAGTCAACGGTGTATCCTGGTTTTGTGCTTCCCTAGGCAGGACAAAACTCAGTCGTCATCGTCCCCCCGCTGCACCTCACCCCCCTTCCCCTGCCACCCCACCCCACACTTCCCCCCCTGCCCCGCCTTCTAAATACACACACACACACACACATTCACTGACAGATACGCATACACAAACTAACAGATAGACACACTCACTAACAGACACATACTCTAACAGACACACACTAACAGACATTAACAGACACCCACTAACAGACATTAACAGACACACACACTCACTCACATTAATACACTCACTTTTTTTTTTTAACCCCCCCAGCCTCCTTACCTTTGGGAATGCTTGGGGGGGAGGGGGTGGTTCTAGTGGGGCTGCTGGGTGGTCGGTTCTGGCAAAGGGAGCACTTTCCTTTGAGCGCTCTGCTCAGCTCCCTAGCACGCTGTGAGGGAGCTGAGCAGAGCGCTCAGGGGAAAGTGCTCCCTCGGCAGTGCCGCCCAACTGACTGGATTGTTAGTTAGCCACCAGGCTAACAAGACATTTGCCCTGGAAAGTGCCGCCCAAGGCAAATGCCTTGTTTGCCTCGCAGCTAATACGTCCCTGCTTACAGGGTTTAATAGGGACATCACCAATCACCCTAGTGGTGATATATCTCCTGAATAAGCATCAATGTGGAGCTTTTCAGAAAATTATGACAAAATTCAATCAACACACTAATGGCACTCTCATAATTGGAGGGGACTTTAATATCTCTGTGGACGCTGCTAAAGACAGCACATCAAACAACACTACACACATGGCCGCGGCGAGACATCAAATGCAACACATACCAACACCACACCAATTAATGGACTGTTGGAGGGTGCATCACCTGACGACAAAGGACTACACCCACTACTCTATCCCGAACAAAACTTACTCACGCATAGACTTTATCCTAACCACACAGAGATCTGGGGTTGATTACTGACAAATCCATAGAAAACACATTAAGCAGACCAATCAAAGTTGACCTCTTTTTACGGAGGAATGTGTGTAACAAGGTGCTTTACAAAGTGCAAGTGATTTTCAGGCTGCTCTATACACTTGTGTGGAAATATCCTCTATCCCACTTGACAAAATAGTAGATTTAAATACGGTGTAAGTAACAGAAACCTACACCTATAAGTGGAGCTCTCAAATTTATATATTGCTTACCAAGCGTTGTTTCATATCATGGTACATGTAAAAGAACACAGAAGAATACAATATAGTGCAGATGGTATATACAAAGTGACATTGCAATAATAGTAGTGTAATCTTAATGGCTGGTACACTCACATTCCAAGGAGCCTGTATATGGAAACACTGGCTCCGTATCAAAGCTTGTGTGCTCATAATGGTAGCACCACCCTTCTACTTCGGTGTGGAGTAATTCTCAAAAACAAAAACAGAAGAAAACTCTTTCCCTCTGTTTTTGTTTTTGAGAATTACTATTATTAGAATATATAAATTTGAGCGCTCCACTTATAGGTTTAGGTCTCTGTTACTTACACCGTATTTAAATCTACATTAAACAGACCTCCCAGAGCTGAATAGGGAGGCTCTGCGGCAAGAATGTATCCAGTACAGAAACAAGGCAAGACTAGAGATAGACACCAAACATGGAAACAAGACAGAACTAATAGAACCCAGAACCGGAGAAGGATAGGAAGCTAAACCCAGAACATGCACACAAGACATGAGGGAAACATGAACATTACATGGGCTTGACTGGATAGGACTGTACATGGACTGGGTATACAAACTAAAACAAGACAAGAAAATAGGCAAAACAAGGGGAGACATAACTAAGTACTACATATGAAAATCATGGGGATTTAGTCACATTATATGATCATACATTGCATAAGCCTGCCAACAACGCCAATGTACCCCATATCTGGCAGGTCCTACACTGCCTAATGTATGCTAAAACAACCAAAGAAGACATATATAGCACTTACCTGCAAGAAAGGGCAGAAGCCTTGAGCAGCTGCCTGCAGGACACTGAAACAAAAAGGAATGATGGAAGACAAATGGGTGTGGCAACATAAAACAAACATTTAAATAAATCCAAGAGACTGGGAAATCTAGGGACGGAATAAAATGAATGAACCCAGAAATCCCATAAAGAAAACAAGACATAGAATAGAAAAACAAAAAAAAACAAGCAAAACTAAACACGAATTGTAAAAAGAGTACTGGATACCAGAAGCCATTGTCAGAATGATCCGCAGCATGGAACAGGATGTGACAATTACCTACTGACAGCTGCAAAAGCAGTAATAGCAGGGAACTGGAACTCTCAAAAAAGACCCTCTAGAAGAGACTGGTACCAAAAAATAGACAACATCCATAAGATGTTAGAATTAAAAATGTCAGCTTTGGGTAAATTCCATCAGTTCCGAAACAATTTGTCAACCATATTGTGAGAGATTACTCAAGGAGACAAAAAGTCAGCCAGAGGTGAGGAAACAAATTGAGGGGCGAGAGGACCAGGGATAGGAACAAACAGATAGAACTTTTTACGCCACCTAGATAGGAATAGCCATAGACAGCAAATAGAGACCATTCAGGTATATTCAGTAATCAGCAATCAGTGTTTTAAGCTCTATATGTGAACACCCCCCCAGACATTCATTCATAAAGGTACTCAGAGATGAAGCTTGAAATGTATCAGAAATGCAAATGAAACACTCGATTTGGATAGAGTCCATTCAGGTATATTCAGTAATCAGCAATCAGTGTTTTAAGCTCTATATGTGAACACCCCCCCAGACATTCATTCATGAAGGTACTCAGAGATGAAGCTTGAAGTGTATCAGAAATGCAAATGAAACACTCGATTTGGATAGAGTCAACAACATTCTGTGAATTCCTTGTAAGCCAAATGCTCTTAATTGCACATGTTATTAATGTTAATATTATTCATGTTAATATTATTCTCTCTTTGTTTAATTGTTTCATACTATCTTATGCTACTACATGCAAAATGTAAACTATATGAAGACATTAACTTAAAAAAAGCAAAATAAAAATAAATTTAAAAAAAATAAAAAAAAAACATAGTTAAGACTATGGCCTTAATAGATTCTGGTGCAGCAGAAAACTTAATTGACCAGAATTTTGCCATTGAAAACGGTTAAGAGATACACCCTTGGCCATTGAGGCCATAAAAGTTCGACCCCTCCAGATACCTGTTATTACACACAAAACCATACAGTTCTTCTGATGGTAGGTGTGTTACACAAGGAGATTTGTGTGCTCCAAATAATCACTTCTCCGGCTTTCCCAATAGTGTTGGGGTTCCCTTGGCTAAGAAAGCATAATCCAACTATCGGTTGGGAGAGAGGTGATATTGTTTCTTGGAGTAAGAATTGTCATCATGGGTGTATCACAAAAGTACAACCTATTCACCTTATTAATGTTCCAACCGTGTACCCCTTGTCTGCGGTGGTTCCAGAACAATACGTTAAGGTGAATAAAGTGTTTCATAAGAGTAAAGCCGAATTATTACCGCCTCATAAATCCTATGATGTGCCATTGACTTAATACTGGTTACCATGCCTCCTAGAGGTACTGTATATCCTCTTTCCGCTAACAAAAATATGTATTCTAGGAATACATGAAACAAAGCCTCATTAGAAGATCCTCATCGCCAGCAGGGGCAGGGTTTTTCTTTGTGTCTAAAAAGTAAGGTGAGCTCAGGCCTTGTATTGATTTCAGAGGATTTAATACGATTACTGTACATAATGCTTATCCAATACCTCTTATAACCGAGTTGTATGACAGATTAAAAGGTGCTAAAATCTTCACCAAACTTGATTTAAGAGGAGCTTCTAATCTTGTTTAGGCAAGAAAGGCAAGGCTCCGGTGAAGTGTCATGGCCCGGCATTGTCTGCCTCATCGGCCAGACACCACCGCCTGCCAGGCGCGGGAGAGGGGGCCTCTATTCGACCCTCAGGCAATTCGACACCCCAGGTCCTCCGCATGGTCCTTTCCTGATCACTTGGCACAATTCGTGCATTACTAGGTCCGCAGACCACTGGATTGGGAGGTGCGCAGATAACTTTGGGGTGAATGCCCCAGACCAGTACTACCAGATAAGGCCTGTGACAGAC